GCCATACCCTAATACCCATTTGATATACTGCCTTATCTACTACCTTATCATCGGTGACCACTCGGCTTTACTTCCTCCTTATCGACCTTTAGAGTGATCGCCTGTCAGCTAAATAGGGCTACTTTTCCTTTTAAAGTCGACGAAAAAACATTCTACCACTCGGMTATATTTTAGAGGCATTATTTCTAGATTATCTCTCTCAGACGTAACTTCGGGTTTCGTCAACTTTCGTCCCCCAAGTAAGCGRACAGGTAGCCCACAAAAYGAGAGGCTGTGAACGAACCTTSTAAAGAAGATCACTTGGTATTTCTATGGACTACTTGAGTAATGATATCTTTAATCTTAGGAATACTGATGAGCCCACACTAATGRCAAGATTATGATTTAACAGTTTTAGTTCGAGGTCGAATTGACCWCGAGAGCGTTTAACAAAACTATATCAAAGGATGCAGGTTCTGRTTRTCTTTGTCACAGCAACTCCCTGTTTCTCAACCCAGACTATCAGTAATACCCAGAGATTAGGAATCCAATCAAAATGCAGGATTTCGATTCGCATATCTTAGTGAATAGTCTTATAAAAGCGTAGTTGAAATCTATGCAGAATCACGGTCTTGCACGGTAAATCAATTCCTACTTGTCCAGCTAGSTTGACAGCACATGCACAGGTTCGATGTTACACCATTACATTCCTGTTTTCCAACTTACATTATACCCAACCAATGAACATTGATCTCCTCGATCACTGCAAGTATTGTATAAAAATGCCTCTATGTTCACATCCAAGTACAAACTCGTGATTTGAGTATAACTCGAGACATTTTGGCGTTTTGGCGTTCCTCTATGGATTTATCACGTGACTCAAAGCAGAAAAATTCTAATCGCGCCAAATCTTCCACTAACATAGAAAGGCAAAAACCAATAATAACAACATGATAATACAATAAGGCAAAACGAAGAGAGTTTACAAGCATGCGCATTGAGCCATACATTACGTCATGATGTTGCCAGTTGTCTTAATTGTTGCTGACATAATGTTTATTGTAACATCACTATTCATCAGTGCATTTTGATAAATATTTATCGGTTCTTTGTTGTCCCGACATTGTTTATAGCTGGTRCCGTGTTAAACACSGGCGTTTGATTTGATTTTACTTCTCAATATTTTGATTTTCCTTATCAAAGCAGGTTTATATTTACAATTTTCAGGGGCCAAAATTCACTAAAGAAATACAAAAAATCTCTTTTGGCGCATGAAAAGTTAATTCCTACTGGTATAGATTCAAGAAGCACAACTTAATTTACATGGTCCGACAAAGATTAAAAACGAGTTTCAATGACCTAATAAAGTTTAATGCATCTTTGATTATTCTTAGAAAAACTTAAGCAGTTCAAAATTGGGTGAAAAAAAAGCCCGCAAAGTTGGTAATTTTTGTCGTTGTGTTGCATGGTTAGAACGTAATTCCTCATATTTAGGTATTTACGATCAAAGTGCAGGTAGAGTGGCCAGTTAAATCAAAATACGTGTATGATGACAAAGAAACACAAACAATAATAATGACCTTATCTCATGATCAGGCTAAGCTGAGCCATTCTCTTTTCTACCATTGACATCCAAGGTCAGTAAATACTTCAGCTTCTTTGTGGGATCTATAAAAAGGTAAAAACAAAGTTCATCAGGATGAAATACTTATTTCTAACTATTATTGAAGTGAAAACAAGAACTAGATAATTGTTGTACGAGAAAAGGGACTGCATTTCCAAGAAAGACAAGTTTGATATGGCTTTTTATAATGGAAACTCATGCACTATTATCATATATTTCTTGCATGGCATTGCTCAAGRATATCGTTCGTTTACTTTTGAAGGTTTTGACCARTTTATTATCAAGGAATATTTTATCCTTTACATGGAAAAGATGAAAGAATACCAAACAACACATGTGGCATTTTCTGAACCAATGTGTGACCTAATCAATCATAATGATCGGCTACCTTTGCCATTATACGCTTACAATTCTCCTTCTTATATCTAATTCTAATTCTTTATCAAGTTATAAACTCATTTGCCATGAAAAGGATGATGGATGAGACATATTCAATTCAATTCAGTTTAAAATCACTTGATTGCCATCCAATAAGTAACATCAAGATATATGTATAAGTACATCGTATTTACAGATTATTTTATTCAAGTTCATACATACGAGAGGAATAAAGTTCAAATCAGTAAAATAAAGGCGACGAATGAATACTCCTGGATGGGAGGCAGCTCAAAAGGACATATTTCATAGTTTGTAGTGACACAAACAATAGACAATTCTATCAATTCTGAAATTATTGAAAAAACTATCTATATTGATTTTGGACTTTCAGGAATAATACAAAAATCATGAAGACAATACTCTTGATTTGCGCCATTTTTGTGTGCGCTCAAGCACGATCAGGTAAAGTCACCATAAAACCTTAACATAATGATTGATAACAACAATRTTTTGTGAAACTAATTGCTTAGTAATAYAGAAATTTAGTTTAAGTAATTGATTTAACTCCAATGCCTGCTCTTGCCGTTTGCATAATTTGTAAAAAAATGTAAGAGCAATATTATATCTGTAACCAAGGATAARGAGTTAAAACAATTGCAATTAAATGATAACTAAGATTCCAACAGCAGAAACTCATGAGAGAATTGAAACGTTTGAAGCTTGTGCTATATCTCTCAATCCGCTTGGTTTCCGGCAACTGACRTTACAGTAAAATGAACATAGTTACAGGTCAGCATGTAACAAGTTATCTTTCCTTTTTAGTCAAGCAACCGCAAAAGCCTTACCCAAGACCTCCACCATATAGACAAGCCACTTATGGAAATGTTCAGCCCCAATCCCTATACGGACCTCCTCAACCTTACGCTGGAGCACAGTGGGGTGCACCAGTRAGCGCTATGCCTGCACCTTTCGCACCTTTCCCACCACCAAATCCATGTGCTCCTCAGTGTACCAACCTACCACCAGCATCACCTTGTCCTTCAATGTGCCAGCAAAGTTGCTGCCCTGCAGCCCCAGCCCCTCCAGCACCTCAATTCATTCAGGTTCCTCCCGCCGTAACAATGCCAACTACAAAACCAACTAAGGCTCCTAAAAAAGKCAAAACTCCTCCTTGTGCTCCAAGCTGTGGAACCACCTTCATGTCTGCACCAGTTGCCATGCCCGTGCAAATGCCAATGCAACCAGCTGCTCCATGTTCACCACCTTGTTCACCTCCAATGCCAATGGCACCACCAGCCGCTCCATGCGCTCCACCATGTGCCCCACCGATGCCACCAATGCCAATGGCACCACCAGCAGCCCCTTGCGCTCCACCATGTGCCCCACCGATGCCACCACCACCACCACCA